GAAACTCAAAACAGGAAAGTTGTAGATATTTTTGTCAAATTTCCAACCCATCTGGAATCAGATCATTTGGAGGTTATATGAGGAAGTTATGACTAAAATAGCGCCGAGACACCCAAAGGTGTCTCGGACCTGGCCGAGACACCCAAAGGTGTCTCTGAACTTGTGGAGCTGTTTTGATCATGATCCCTTTAGAATCTGAATAAACTCAAAACATAAAAGTTGTAGATATCTTTGTCAGCTTTCCAACACATCTTGAATCACTCAAATCCGAGTTCAGATGAAAGAATTAGATATCTTTGTCTCGCACTTGGGATGTGTTTTTGACGGTTTTCAATCAGTTTTAACAGCTTACAAATCTGCTCACAACTCCCACTGCATGGGCGATGTCCGGCCTCATGCAAACCATCGCGTACATGAGACTCCCAATGGCCGAAGAATATGGCACCCTGTTCATATGCTCTCTATCTGCATCTGTCTTAGGCGATTGCTTCTCAGATAGCTTGAACTGACTTTCAAGGGGTGTGCTAATAACTTTAGCATTCTGCATGTTGAACCTCTGAAGTACCTTTTCAATGTATTCAGCTTGGCTTAATCTCAATGTCCCTTCAGCTTCATCCCTACTGATTCGCATCCCTAGAATCTGCTTCGCTACACCCAGAGCCTTCAATGCAAATTCCTTTGCTAGCTGCCTCTTCAAACTGTTTATCTCTTCTAAACACGGTCCTGCTACCAACATGTCATCAACATATAATAACAAAATAATGAAGCTGAACTCGAACCTTTTGAAATAACAACAATGATCCGAATTACATCTTCTGTAGCTATTGTTCTGCATGAAGTTATCAAACTTCTTATACCACTGTCTCGGAGCCTGTTTCAAACCATATAAGCTCTTCTTGAGCTTGCACACCATCTCTTCCTTTCCTTCTTCAATGAAGCCAACAGGCTTCTTCATGTAGATTTCTTCATCCAAGTCACTATGAAGAAAGGCAGTCTTCACATCTAACTGCTCAAGAAAGAGATCTTCTGCAGCTACCAAACTCAACACCACTCTGATGGTTGTGAGTTTCACAACAGGGGAAAATATCTCTGTGTAGTCCACTCATTCTCGCTGTTGAAACCCTTTCACTACTAATTTGGCCTTAAATCTCTTGCTTCCATCACTCTCCTGCTTGACCCGGTAGACCCATTTATTGTGCAAGGCTTTCTTCTGCGCAGGTAGCTGGGCTAACTCCCATGTCTCATTAGTGAGTAGAGAATCCATCTCCTCCTGCATCGCATGCTCCCACTGCTGAGATTCACTCACTTGCACTGCCTCTTCATAACACTCCGGCTCTCCGCTATCTGTTAAGAGTAGATAATCAAGTGACGAGAGGTATTTGGGATTTGGTTTGGGTTCCCTGGATGATCTCCTAAGCTCTACGTCCTGGGTAGTAGCTTCTGCACCTGTAGTCTCCTCCGTTCTACGGTCAGAACTGACATCGTCGCCCCTATCTGGAAGTTCCTCCAAATCCATGTACTCGGAAACACCTGTATCCGTAGTGCTGTTCCCACTTCTTTGGCTATCCTTGGAATTGTCCCTGTCCTTGTACATCACCTCCTCATTGAATATCACATCCCGACTCCTGATGATCTTCCTGTTCTTCTCATCCCAAAGGCGATACCCGAACTCATCAATGTTGTATCCAATGAATGTGCACTTTTGTGACTTAGCTTCTAGCTTGTCCCTGACATGGTCACTGATATGAACATAAGCCACGCAACTAAATATCTGCAAGTGTGAGAGATTTATCTTCTTTCCACTCCAAACCTCCTCTGGAATCCCAAAATCTAATGGAACTGATGGCCCGTGATTAATCAGGTAGGCTGCCGTATGCACCGTATCCACCTAAAATGTCTTAGGCAGACCTGCATGTAATTGCATGCTCCGCGCACGCTTTGTCAAGGTCCTGTTCATCCTCTCTACAATGCCGTTCTGCTGCGGCGTCCTTGGAGTAGTCCTCTCTAAGCGAATCCCATTCGTAGCACAGAACCTCTTAAACTCCCCCAGCTTGTATTCTCCACCATTATCTGATCTCAAGCACTTCACCTTCAGATCTGTCTCGTTCTCGACCATGGCCTTCCACTTCTTGAAGATTTCGAACACCTCTGACTTGTGCTTCATAAAGTAAACCCACACCTTCCTCGAGTGATCGTCGATAAAGGTGACGTAGTATCTCGAACGGCCAAAAGAAGACACACTGGCTGGGCCCCATACATCTGTATGAATCAACTCTAGCTTTTGAGCCTTAGGTGGCCTTCCACCCTTCTGGAAACTAACCCTCTTCTGCTTCCCAAAGATGCAGTCTTCACAAACCCCGACTTCCACGGTGTCGATCCCGGTTAGCTTTTCTTGTGAATGTAGGATTTTCATCCCCTTCTCGCTCATGTGTCCCAGCCTATTGTGCCACAGATCTGTACTCTCCTTGCCAGCTGCAATTGCGAGGGTGTCACTCGCATGTGAAGTGAGGTAGAGAGTTCCCGTTTTATTGCCTCGGGCAACAACCATAGTACCGTTAGAGATTCTCCACGAATCCCCGGTGAATGTCGAAACGTAGCCTTCTGCTCCAAGCTGTCCCACCGAAACAAGATTCCTCTTCAGCTTCGGCACGTGTCTCATGTTCTTCAAATTCCACTTAGAGCCCTTTATCTATATCTGAACGTCGCCCTTTCCAACAATATTGCAAGGTTCAATGTCCCCCAAGTATACTTTACCAAAGTCCCCTGCTACATAGTTCTGAAGTAGTTTTCTATTAGCAGTGGCGTGGAAAGAAGCTCCTGAGTCGATGATCCAGGAATCAGAATCGCTATCCATAGTAAGGATCAAGGCATCCTGCACGATATGAGCCTCCTGCTCACCCACATCCTTCTTTGGTGCTTTACAGACCGAAGACATATGGCCCTCCTAGCCGCAGTTCCAACACTTCCCTTTGATGGACCTAACCTTCGAGTTCGGCCTCTTCTTCACTGATTTTGACCGATTCCTGTTCTGGTTCCCTTTTTTCTGGCTTATGCCTCTCTGTTCGAAATTTAGGGCTGAACCTGAACCTTCTGATTCGGATGATTTCCTTCTAACCTCCTCGGATAGAATCATGCTAACAACCTCATTCAGCTTCAACTTCTCTTTCCCCGACGAATTACTGATTACCGTCACACAACCTGCCCAACTATCCGGCAACTGTGATAGTAGTAGAAGGGCCTGCACTTCGTCATCGAACGTGATGTCCACGGAGATAAGTTGATCAACAATCGTGTTGAACTCGCTGAGGTGCATCGTGAAGGACCGTCCTTCTGCCATCTTGAGGTTGAAAAGAGTTTTGACTAGATGCACCTTGTTTGCTGCCGACGGTTGCTCGTTCATCTTCGCGAGCGCTTCCATAAGCCCCACCATCGTCTTCTCCTTCAGAATATTATGGGCTACTGATTTGGCGAGTGACAACCGGATTTGTCCTAGAGCCTTCCTATCCAGTACCTCCCAATCACCATCTGACTCCTCTTTCTTCTTTCCCTTTTCCTTGCCCATCAACGGGCGATACAAATCCTTCTGGTACAGATAGTCCTCCAATTGCGACTTCCAGTAGGCGAAATCCGATCCATCGAACTTCTCAATCTTTGATTTGTTTTCCTCTGCCATGGCTTTCACACAAATTGCTGAACGAAGCTCTGATACCAGTTGTTGGGGATTCGAAACAATCAATCGAACCCTTGCCCTTCCGGACCTTGTGTTGAAAGTAGGAAAGTAGGAATAAACCACAAATAAAGATCTAACCTTGTAAATGAACGAAGCTCTGATACCAGTTGTTGGGGATTCGAAACAATCAATCGAACCCTTGCCCTTCCGGACCTTGTGTTGAAAGTAGGAAAGTAGGAATAAAACCACAAATAAAGATCTAACTTGCAAAAAAACAGTAAAGGAGATGAACACACAAATTTAACGAGGTTCGACAACGTGCCTACGTCCTCGGGAGCCACACCACACAATCTCTTTATTAATTAAAGAAGAAAATACAAGCTCTCAAATAAGGGGTTAATCTCTCTGAGATTCTCTCTCTCTTTGCAGTCAAAAGCTCTCTTTTTGATGTAGTACAAACCCTAAAATCGTTTGGGGTATATATAGAATCCTGGTTGAAACAGAATCCCAAAAGGAATAGGAAACTGCCAAATATACTCGCGGTCGACCGGCCTGGTCGACCGATCAGATTCCAGAGAGTTTGGCGGTCGACCGGCGCGGTCGACCGCAATCAAAACCCGAGACCAGATTTTCCTACAGGGTTTTGGCGGTCGACCGGGTCGGTCGACCGCGACCTGATCCAGGCTCTCCCAGCCCCCTGTGCACGTTCGCGGTCGACCGACCCGGTCGACCGCCGATCTGTCTGCGTGTTTTTCTGATTTTTTGATTCCAGCTCTTGTATCGAACTTTGGGTCTACACCTTAGACTAACAACATCTACCCCGCTATCGTAGATTTTTATCCTAGTCCTTCTGGACTAAGCTCGATTATATCATGTGTGTGGGCTTGAGGCCATCATTTAGACCGCCATTTGCCGTCACATCTCTTTAATTACCCCTCACCAAGACACGGATCCTACGGAACTTGCAAATTGCAGACCGTCGAAACATGCATTGCAGAACCCATGACTTTTGGCCATTCATTCCTCTGATTTGCGTTCTGTATGATCCACCGGATCCGTAGCTAGACAGCGGACACGCAGTAGCTTGATCAACCACAGCCTAAATATTTAAGGCGCAAAAGAGACTAACAACTAACACCGAATTACCTTGCAAACTCGATCTCGCGCACCACTTGGATTCTTGGGAGCCACGAAAGCCCACAACGCCATTCCTGGGCCAATCACTTGTATCACGTAACCATCACACAGCTGTCGAGCTCCGTTTACGTGCATTACACGCCCCCTTAAGAGCCCAATTAATTAAGACATGCCTCATATAATTGCTCTTGGTCTCTCTCTACCAATATAAATACTTGCCACCCTGATCTCCTTGCTCTTACTAGAAAATTTCTACGAAAACATAAATTAAGATGGCACTTCGATGGTTTCTCGGGATAGTTACGACTCAGATTGTAGCCCAGCCGACCGGCGACGGTAGTTCGGAAGAAGCTCAAAAGAAGAAGAAGATCGCCGGAGAGCTCAAAGCGACGGCCGGCGTTCACTGCGGGTATGAAGAGGGTTTTAGGATGCCGCTGCGTTATCCTCGGTACAAGAAGGAGGATTATGAGAGGATGGAGGAGTGGAGGGTGGACAATCTGCTAATGCAGTACGGATTGGCTTGTGAGGGGTCAGTTGAAGAGAAGAGGGCTTTCGCTATGGGCACTTTCTTGTGGCCTGACCAGTTTTAAGGGAGATTTTTCTTAGTCTTTAATTATTAGCCATAAATGTACGTGCTTAAGATACTACGTACATCCATAAATTTTCTTTCTATACAGAATGAGAGTGGTATGTTGTCAATAGTATTGTCATTGTAGAATATTCCATGATGTGTTGTACCTTCCATGATGTGTTGTACCTCAAAATTTTGTTATAATAAAAGTAGATGTCGTGGATATCGATCGCAAGTTACATGAATATCCCATTTTGTTATAATAATTGTAGAATATTATCCCAAAATATATTGTCAATCATATTGTCATGTTAGAATAATGAAGAGAATTTGCATGGAGGATAAAATGGCACTAAATTTTAGAATCAAAATATATTGTCAACATACCAAATTCTAGAATCGGATACCTTTTTCTCCGTTAACTTGCACCCCCGCTTAGTTTTCATGGCTAAAAACAAGAAAAAAGTGAAAAAATTATTCAATATTGGTTTAAGAGCTTCAAATTCGAGTTTGCAATCTTCTGAAGATCTTATCGATGCAGGTTTTGTTGAAGATGATGAAGTTTCTGATTCAAATGTGATGGGGTCAACGGGTCCAAATGGAGAAAAAAAAGAAGAAATCGATGATGGAAATCCTCAGATCTACTGATTCCCTAGCTGATCCTCCTCTTCCTCAGGCCAATTCTCAGATTGGTGTTAGATCTCGAAATCTCTGTAAGTCTCAAAGTTCTTCTAATGGTGCTGGTAGTTGTTCTAGGGTCTCTTGGGCTGATGAGGTGGAATCTCCTAGATCTCCTATGTCTCATCTCTTTTCTATTGATTCCATGAAGAAAACTAGCTCTGATTCTTCGATTTTAATTTCTGATAAAAATACTGTTCCATTGAAACCTGTGGAGTTTACTGTGGAAGAGGTTTGTACTGAACTTAAAGATAATTCCTCCCCTTCAGTTCCTCTTAAAGAGAGTTCTGGGATACCAATTTCAATTAATGCAAATGATAAACAAGATTTGGCCCCTGCTGGAAATGTATCAAGAAGCTGGTCCAGCTTATTTGCTGATAACAGGAAACCTGGTAGGGGTTTGGATTTGTCCTATGTTCCCCCTGAGACAAAAGACATTGTGATGTTTGGAAATGATGAGTGGAATGAAGGTATATCATCTTGGCAATTCTCTCTTATTGGTCAGGTTCTGGGGCTTACTGTCAAATTTAAGGCTATGGAGACTTTCGTGCAGAAAACTTGGTCTCATTTAAATGCTCCTGAAGTTTGCCTTTTAAAAGCTGGTATCTTCTTGTTTAAATTTAAGAGCAAAGATGAAATGTGTGAAATTCTTGAAAATGGACCATGGTTTTTTGGGTCTAGGCATTTTCTATTAAAACCTTGGTCTATTGATGAGGGTATTGATAAGATAAAGGATTGTATATATCCTATGTGGATCCAATTGCCAGGTTTAAGATTGAATTTGTGGAATGCTAATGCAATTAGTAAAATTGTAAGTGTTGTGGGTAGACCTATTACTACTGACAAACTTACTGCAAATAAGCAAATGTTAGCTTATGCAAGGGTCCTTGTTGAAGTGACTTTTCCTTCCTCTCTCCCTGATCAAATCTCTATACAGGGGCCAAATGGTAAACAATTTTCCCAAAAAGTGAATTATGAATTGAAACCTAGATGGTGTGAATTTTGCAACCAAGTGGGACATGAATCCAGCTACTGTAAGAGAAAATCCAGGACTGAAAGATGGGTTCCTAAGGCTGCTGTACCAGTTAATCTGAATCAGAAGGTTGTTGTGCAGAATAGCAAGAACAATGAAGAGTTCAGGCCTGCTTCTGGGGCTCATGGAAATAAAATTTCTGAAATTTCTAGTTATGCTGGTCAAGATAGGATACCTGTTTTTGATGGTGAAAATGTGGGTATCAGCAATGACAATCTATCTCAGGAACCTGGTCAGCATATTATACACATTCAAGAATCTGATCCTGAGATAAATCCTTCAAAAGGAAAAGGTATATTACAGGATGAATCTGGGAATAACAAGGACAATGTAGAGCTCAGGACTGTGCATGTTGTGCACGTTTCTGGTTCTAATGTAGATCATGTAAGTTCTGACACTGCTAAAAATCCTTGGTCCTTTGTTCAAGGAAATGGCTCTAAAAAGGCAGTTCCTCATGTAAATTCTTTCACTCTTCTGCGCAACATTAAATTTGACCCATCTACAATAGATAGAGGGGGAATCCCCAAATGAACCTATCCTTTTGGAATATAAGAGGATTAAACAAATCCTCTAAGCAACGATTGGTTAAGCATCATCTGTTGTAATATCAGCTTTCATTTCTTGCTCTTCTTGAAACTAAAGTCAAGGGTTCAAATTTGTCTATTACTGCAAAGAAAATTGAGAAAAACTGGCAGTGGCTATCTAATGTGGGTAACACAGGAAAAGCTAGGATCCTTGTTATGTGGGATCCATGTATTTTGGATGTTCAAGTTGTTAAGTTTTCTGAACAGCATATCTCTTGCTCTGTAAAATCTGTTGATGGTAAATTTGATTGTTTCATCTCATCTATATATGGCTTCAATCATTTGGAGGCTAGACAAGATTTGTGGCTTGATCTCTGCCATCTTCACCAAAATTTGGGGAATTATCCTTGGCTACTGTGTGGAGATTTTAACACAATGATTAACAATGAAGAAAAGCTAGGTGGGGTTGCTTTAACTACAGTTGATACAAGTGATTTTAACTCCTTCATTGAAGATTGCCAACTCAGTCACCTGAAAACTCTGGGTTGCTTCTATACTTGGAGTAATAAACAGGTATCCGATTCTAGAATTTGGTGTAGACTTGACAGGGCCCTGGTAAATAGCTCGTGGATCAATTTGTATAATTCCAGCCATGTGGAATTTTTGCAGCCAGGTTTATCTGACCATTCCCCTGCTTTTGTTTCAATCTATGATGATTGTGTTCAAGGAAAAAAGCCTTTTAAGTTTTTTAAAATGTGGACAAAGCACCCTAGCTTCATTCCTATAGTTTCAAAAACCTGGCAGTCTTCTGTTGAAGGTTACAAAATGTACTCTGTCAGCACAAAGCTCAAGCTGCTTAAGAGTAATCTGAAGGAGTTAAATAAGAAACATTTTTACAATATCTCTGAGCAAGTCCAAAGAGCCAGAGTAGCACTTGAAGAAGTTCAGAGGAACCTTCATGCAGATCCTTTCAACTCTTCTCTCATGATACAGGAAAAGGATTTTTTATCATCCTATAAGAGATTATTAGACTGTGAACTATCATTTTATCAACAAAAGGCTAGAATAGCCTAGAGTTTACAGGGTGATAGGGGTTCCAGGTTTTTTCATGCAATTGCAAAAAACAACAAGCACAACAATAGAGTGATGGTTCTGCATAATGCCAATGGAGATAGAATCACTAATTGCAAAAAACAACAAGCACAACAATAGAGTGATGGTTCTGCATAATGCCAATGGAGATAGAATCACTGATGGTGAAGGGATTGTAAATGAATTTATCTCTTTTTATAGGAAGCTTATGGGGTCAGCAGTTGTTACCATTCCTCCTGATATGGATATCATAAACTCTGGTCCTATTCTGAATACAGCTCAAGCCAGGGAATTATCTAGGCCAGTTACCAGGGATGAAATCAAATCAGCTATTTTCTCTATGGCTGAAGACAAAGCTCCAGGTCCTGATGGGTACAATGTTTCTTTTTTCAAATCTGCATGGACTGTTATTGGAGAAGAGGTCATTGAGGCTATTGAGGAGTTCTTCAGTTCTGGAAAACTGCTTGGTATGGTAAACTCCACCTCTATTACACTTATACCTAAGGTGCATTGTCCTAAAACTCGTTCAGATTATAGGCCTATATCATGTTGTAATAGTCTTTACAAGTTTATATCAAAAATTATCACCAATAGAATCAAGACTGTTATGGGATATATTGTAAATGATGCTTAAAGTGCATTTGTAAGGGGTAGACAGATCTCTAGCAATATCAAATTGGCTCATGAACTGGTGAATAGCTACAACAGGAAGCATCTCTCTCCTAGGGTCATGCTTAATATTGACATTAGGAAGGCCTTCGACACCATCAGCTGGTCTTTTCTGTCTGACCTCCTTCATGGTCTGGGGTTTCCACAGGTCATGATTGGTTGGATATTGGCTTGTATTACTTCTCCAAGTTATTCTTTATCTCTTAATGGTTCTCTTCATGGCTATTTCAAAGGCAAACGTGGCTTAAGACAAGGAGACCCCCTTTCTCCTTATCTGTTTATTCTAAGTATGGAGTATCTTTCAAGGAAGTTGAGGGTGTTAAAGAATGACAGGCTCTTTAAGTTCCATCCCAAGTGCAGTCAGCTTAATATTACTCACCTTATATTCGCAGATGATCTCCTCCTGTTTGCAAAGGGTGATGTATATTCAGTACATAAATTGTTTCAATGTGTTAAAGAGTTTAGTGCTGTATCTGGACTGGAGGCAAATCCAGAAAAGTGCTCTGTTTTCTTTGGTGGTATAGATGAATCTGTCAAGTCTTCCATTAACAACTACTTGGGATTCTCTAAAGGTGTTTTACCTTTCAAATATCTGGGAGTTCCTCTCACAACTAAGAAATTGTCTCACATGGACTGCAATGCCCTCCTTTCAAAAATCTCAGGGCAATTTCAGAAATGGTTGAATCATGGGGTTTTGTCCTATGCAGGTAGATTGCAAATAATAAAGAGTGTAATACTTGGTGTTCAAATATTCTGGACATCAAATTATATTCTTCCAGTCAGTGTTCTCAAGGAAATGGATGGGTTATGCAGGAGTTTCTTGTGGGGAAAATCAGGTCAGAATCTCAGAATCCCTCTGGTTGCATGGGAGAGAGTATGCATGGGGAGAAAGAAAGGAGGACTGGGAATTTTTTCAGCTCTTAGTTGGAATACAGCTTCAGCTCTGAAATGTATTTGGGACATTCATGTTAAAAAGGAGTCTCTGTGGATTAAATGGATTCATGGAGTCTATTTAAAGCATGAGGATATCTGGCAGGTCAAAGTAAGAGCAGGTGATTCCTGGTTGTGGAAATAATTGTTAAAGGTGAGGGACAAAGCTTTGGTTTTGTATGGTGGAGTGGACAATCTGAAATGCCTGATCAGTTCTTGTTGGAAGGGTGATAAAATAAAGCTATCTGCACTATATTATGCTATTCATCCTACCGCAAATGATGTGATATGGTTCAAGACAGTCTGGGGGGGTCTAAAGATCCCTAAATTCTCATTTGTTAGTTGGCTTACATTTCATGACAGGGTTCTCACTCAGGACAGACTTCATAGGAGAGGAGTCATCAATGCAAACACCTGTATTCTCTGCTCAAGTGCAGCCAGTGAAACAAGGAACCATCTGTTTTTTGAATGTGTGTTTTCGGCTAACGTCTGGAACTGTATCATGAGCTGGCTGGATTTTAAATGAAGATCTTGCAATTGGTCTCTAATTGTCAATTGGTATGCTTACAGGTTGAAGGGTAGGGGATTAAAGCAGCAGTTCAAGAAAATGGCTTTGACTACCTCTATATATTTTATTTGGAGAGAGCGGAATTTGAGGCTTTTTCAACAGAGGTCTAGAAGTGCTGGTGATTTGGTTAGAGATATCAAGTTTGATGTCCTCACTTTCATCCTCAACACCCCTTCAATTGCAAGTAATGATGTTGTTTTGAGGTTTTCTGTCATTTGAATATCTGTGTTTTATAAGATATTCATTTAGTTTTTTTCTTTTTGTAATCTCAGTTGAACACTGAGTATCTGATGTACAAAAAACATTCATACTTGGTTAGTGAATAAAAATTTTTCATTGACCAAAAAAAAATGGCACTAAATTTTGATTGATCACCTATGAGTTTTGTTAAGGATATGTGACTAAAATCAGAAATTCGACTGAAAACCGCATAATTTTAGAAAATTGCATCAGTGACTTCACGGTAACTGCTTGAGATTTTTTGCAAAAAAGGCATAGTCGTACATATTAAGAAAAAAAATCTTCCAGATATTATAGCTTAGCATGATTATAAATGACCCGCTGGGTTTCAGGCTCTGTTCACCGTCCTAGCTTTGCTTGGTTGAGGGGAAGTTGAGAAGTCCAATGGTTTAAGGATTGTGATAAGTTATCTGGGAAAGTTTTGCAACTTCTTTTAAAAAAATCACCAGAATTAGAACAGCTTCTCGTGTTTATTCAGTGATCAGTAAGTGTAGGCGTCAAAAATTACCTATAGGTCCCTGCACACAGCTCGAGACAGAGAGAAGACGATGAACGTCGCTATTAGAGTTACAGAAGCTCATTTGATGACGACAAACACATGAAGAGAGTCTACGGACCATACGAAGTAACGGAACTTCGGAATAACGGAAACAAAGAGCTGATTGGTAGCCCCACGTCGCTTACGAAAGACGGAGCACCCCTCATGTCCCATTTACTTCACATATAATTCAATCATGGGAGCCTGTAGGTCTCCTCGTAGGCTTTCTAACACATCTTGAACCGCGTAATTCCGAGTCCGGACGACGAATTTACGGTAGAAACAAACTCGACGCACCAAAACCAAAAAGCCCAAACCGAGACACCCCGGGGTGTCTTGCCTTGGCCGAGACACTCACAAGTGTCTCGGCCACGCTGAGACACCAATGGGTATCCACAGACCCGAAAAGCTATTTTTGGCAGTTTAGAGTTGTTTATCGATCGTTAACCATCTGGATTTGTTCTAACTGATCTGATAATATGGTTAACTGGTGTCAACTAAAGATAAGAGGGAATCAACCGTTCCTATCCAAGGACAGGGCTCCTGAAACCTATAAATACAGCCCTAGGGCCTTTATTTTTTTGGATCTGGAATTCTCAAGCGTCGTCGAAGCCCTACCGAATTAAGGACTGAAGAGCCACAAATTTCAGAGAGGAGAAGGAGAGATCGGCTCGAGTTCGTCAGCATAAAGAAGAGGATCTCGTCAGATCTACACTTCCCAGTTCCTTCATTGAGATTACCCCGTTACAGTGATCTCGAGAAGAGTGGTCATCTCGCCGTTGTCGAGATAACTACTTTGGTTTCTTGATTCCTTCGCGAATCAATGAAGCTTCGGATCTGATCTGATCGTTTGGTGGTCCACGGATATCAACGTCCCCATCACAGGTCAAGATCCCACACAAGCAATGGGCGATAAACACCCGTTGCGTTTGTTTAAAGAGAGTTGTATTTTTTTTATTTTCATTATGTAAGAAAGTCGTATAAAAAGACTAATTTTACTTTGAATCTGTAATTGATAAACGTGTAATGGATTTAACAATGAAGATATTAACTTTCACCGCAAACAAGCTGGTGACCACAGTAAGAGCCAACAACCTCGCTACCGAGGCTGTCATACCCCAGCCAACGATCAAGATCCCCGTGGCTGAAGAGGTCAATTACGAGTTCGACCAACAGAAGTTCGAGGAGTACGTCTCCTCCTCCTCCTCTAGATCTACCTCTCCTCACAAGTGCAGGAAGGTCTCCTCCTCTCGGAAGATCTGTCGGTCTTCAGATCTGAAGACCCAAGAAGGCAATCTCCCCGCTGTTAGACCCTAGAGGGGGGGGGGGGGATTAGGGTATTATGCTAATCTAATCCGATTATATGCCAATTAAAACTTATTAATAAGTTATCCTAGCAAATATGAAATACCACAATATATATAAGCTAGGATAAGCAATGCAAACAAAGAGATATATCCTATATGATGAATATGTATATCCAAGGATATATAAACTAACACAAGATGATATATCCTATCAAAGAGATATACAATGTGATATATGTAAGTATATGCAAACACAAGGGTAAACAATCTAAACTAGATAGTGGGCAATATAATCAACAAGCAATATACAAAGGCGATATAAGATATGGACATAAAAGTAAGTGCGCCAATGCAATCACAAACAACCAATATGATTACGGAGTTCGGTCCCCACGACCTACGTCTCCGCTCCTCACCTCGAGGAGATCTCCACTATCACAACCGGGTTTTCTACGTTCACCCGAATAACATTTACACCTCACAATACAACCACTATGCAATCACACCTTACACACTAAGTGTTGGTCCTAGCCCGAAAACAATATAAACTCAATATGAAATCTAGCTTATGAAATTAAGAACAAACTTATAAAATGCTAGAATTGAGTTTAAGGAAACTTCTCTAAAGATGACAAGAGAGTGGGAGAAGAGTGAATGCTCAAACACCAAAGGATGATCTCCACTTGCTCTTGTGAAATTGAATTCACAAACTCAAAACACTCAAATGCTTAAAAGCTTATAAACACACTTTAAACAAACTTAAACCCTTGATTAAAACTTTCTTAAACTTGTTTTAAAATTCTCTTGGATATATTAAAACTGAGGTATAAGGGGGTATTTATACCCTCCCAATATCTCAAACAAAAGCCCAAACCAAAAGACCAAAAACCCCTCCAACGGATACAAAAAATAGCCGTTATGGGCATTCTGGGAGCTGGGTGATCGACCGACCTTTTTTTCGGTCGACCGCTCGCACTGTACAAACCTGAAAAAGTTCCAGAGACATTTTCGGTCGACCGGTCCGGTCGATCGGAGTTACTTTAGCAGTGCGCAGATGTTATGTAAAATCAATTTAAAATAGTAAATGAACTCCAAAAATTATGAAATTTTGTGAGAATGTTCTAGACATGTAGAATAACATGTCAGAGAAATAATTTCTGAAAAAAGAATTTTCCAGTTGAGAGAAATAAATGTTTGAACACAGAAATACAGTTTCTGAAAATCTGCTGTGATACACGATTTTGTAAAATCAATTAGGCACAGTAAATCAACTCCAAAAATAGTAAACTTTTGAGAGAAGTTTCTAAACATATAGATAAACATGTCAAAGAAAGAATTTCTTAAATATCACTTCCCATTTATGAAAACTCATCGGTTTTGTAAAAAACATGTACGAACATGCACGAATGAAAACATAATTTTGTAAATTCCATTAAACATAACAAATCAATTCCAAACTTGATGAAACTTTGCGAAATGTTTGTAAACATGAAAACAAACATGTTAGAAAAAGAATTTTTCAAATTAAAATTTTTATTTGTGAAAACTCATGTATTTTGTAAAACTTATAAATTCATGTGTACATAACTTTACCATATGAAACCAAACATGTATATATATATATATATGAATATGTATTTGTTTCATATTTAAACTTAAAAGCCAAGAACCAAAACTTGTGTATATATATATATAACTATATATATAAGAACAAAATATGTGTGTGTATATATAATTGAGCTTAAAGTATTAACACACATAATATAAAACATAAACTAAATATACCCAAGCTTGATCTTGATCTTCATTGAGCTCAATTTGGTACACGTGCGGATGAAGCTTGAACTTGATCTTTAACTATGAATTGCAAGGCTTCAACCCGACATTCCGCCAACCTTCATTGGATATCATCGTTATGGCGCAATCCATCCATCCTCCAACAACGTTGTTTATCTATAATATATAAGAATGTACAAACACTAGACAAACAACATTAGTAGTAAATTATTTGTTAAACATCATCAAAACAAAGAGGCCAACAATCTCCCCCTTTTTGATGATGACAAACAATTTACAAAAAATATATATGCATGAAAGGAAATGAATATACAAAGTATAATATATCATGCATATAAACAAGAAAGACTATACTCACAATATTTCTCCCCCTTTGACAACATCAAAAATGGGACAAAAAGAATATGAGAGCGAAAGCTCCCCCTAACAATATGCATGGGTGAGTATAATACATAGAAGGATATAGGGATTGCCCCCCTATCAAAATGCCATATGGAATATATGAAATGAATATCATGATAAACATATGTGAGCAAGCATAAATGAAAAATATGCTAAACACCACTCACATACAAAAAGACAATATGAGAACATATATAAATATATCAAGGTGAAAAATGGTGTCTCATATCAAAGAACATAAACACCATTTGTATAGGTAGATTTATGAAATCAAAAGAAGAGAAACATGAGAATCATGCAAAAAGTTTTCAAATGAAAACAACGTAATTAATGAAATCATAAATCAAGATTTAAGTTCAAAATCATGCAAAAAGTTTTCAAATGAAAACAACGTAATTAATGAAATCATAAATCAAGATTTAAGTTCAAACACAATGTTTGATAAAAAAAAATTCTTTGTAAAGCTTGATCAAATCACATATAGAATACATTATAAGGCACGAATAGATGATCAAAAAAAATTCTTTGTAAAGCTTGATCAAATCACATATAGAATACATTATAAGGCACGAATAGATGATCAATGAGCACAAACATATAACTATCATCATATAAGTGAAATATAATGAATTCAAAGCAACATATCAAAACAAAATCTTTAACAAAAGAATTTCAAGAGAGGCAACACCCGCTGCTACTACTGCAGTTGCACCTCGCAACAATCCGCCGACATCCAATGAAGCCGGATCTGTAGATCTGAACTCCTCCTCGATAAAGGAGTCAACTACTGAAGGCACGCCAACCCTATCAAAGAGAGCACGTCAAAGGCAATGCCAACGCCTCACGTGCCAATTCGTCAAGGCTTTGGATCAGGTGGATGGACTCCGTTATCAAGCAGATCTAGAGTTCAGAAAGCGCCAAATGGCTAAGCCATCTCCACAGCAAGCTTCGGGAACCTCCTCCCAACCACCTACTAACGAATGAGTTCGTGTCAAACGG